GGCCTGCCCCCCCCCCCCCCGACAGGGGTCCCTTTTGGTTCCCAGCAACCCCAGGATCACCACTGTCCTGACTTCTAACAGCATTACTTAGTTTTGCCTAGTTTTGAACTTTATATAAATAGAACCATACATTTTGTCTGGTTTCCTTTGTTCAACATCATGTTTGTGAAATTCACTGATAATGTTTCATTCTATGACTGTTTTATGCATATACCTTTCTTATACATTCTGCTGTGGATGGCCATTGGACTCCCTGTCACTTTCAAAGTTCACCCCAAATGCTTAGCAAATCTCAGGAAGAAACTGATGACTCCTAAAGCTAATATCCAAAGCAATAGTGTGGGACCCTGGTCTTTGTGACCTATTTTCTCCATTCTCTGCCTCATCTGGCTCCCCAAGATAAAGTCCCCTGCTTACTATATGAACAAATTCCATTCAAAAATGCATTTGTAAGTCCAATTTGTTCCTGAGTCCAATAAGGTTAGCCTAGGTACCCAACTAACACAATCGGCTATAGGGTACTGTACTGGAATAGGTTTAAATACTTTTCACACAAATAACATGTACATAAAAGACACACAAACATGAAAAATGAAGCACTTTTATTCTTACAGTAAAGTACCTTGAAGAGCGCAGTAGTATAACACAGCAGCTGGCATACAGGGACTGCCCCGCATGTTCACATCTTTGAAAGTTCACGGTTTGAAGATTGGTATGCGGGAGACTTACTGCAGATCCCAGAACACTTGCATGAAGTATGATGTGCTGTTTCATTCCTGTCTTTTTCCATCATTAGTTTGGCAGCATCCCTTGTAGTTCTTGCTCATTATACCAGCTCTTTGTGTTGACCAGCCCTTACTGACCCTGTGAAGGCCTGCACAAGCCAAGTGGCTTTGGGCTGGACTGGTATCTGGATAGTTTTCCTAGGAAATTGTGGCCAGGACCCCCATAACAAACGAAGTAGGGGAGCAGAGCTGAGAATTAAATCAACAGCGTGCTGCTTCTTGAAGCAGGCCCCTTGAACCTGCCGCCTGAGTGGACGCTGCAGTGAGGGAAGATGGAAGATTCAAGGCGGCTTCAGATTCTCACTCTAGAGAACCCCTAGGAGAGAAATTAGGACATCATACAGCTGAAGGAACAGGGTTGCAGTGCCTACTGTGCTAGCCAGAGGCCTCTCAAATGCAACTTCCTCTGCCTTGGAACACGAGCACTCATGTCTGCTTTGAAGGGGTGTTGTGAAGATGAGATAGAGCGTCCTGTGCCTGGCCTGGGTGATAGTGTGTTTTATCCTAGATTCTTCCCGTGTGCCCAGTATCTTCCATTCACCTCTCTAGACTGACCCCTCAGCCTTCCCCATCCTAATGTGTGTGTATGTATCATATCAATGGACTCCCTTGATCTTGAGCTTCTGATTGCCCTTGGCCAACAGTAAACATGACATGAGAGGAAGAAGAGGGAGGCGTCAGTATTTGTAAGGCCCATGTATACACACACACACACACACACACACACGCACCCCTCGCATTGGGGAGCAGTGACCGCTCTCTTTCCTTGCCTCTCCAGGCCTGGAGGTGTAAGATCTCCCTGGCTTTACCGGCCCTGGACACCTCAGCATCTTTGGTGGTTTCCAGCCTCCTTGCCCACCCATCTGTCAGCTGTTCTTTCACTAAGCTCCCTTGGTCACACTTACATTGGTGCCATCCATTTCCTGCCCAGGTTCAGACAGACACACCCTTGTACCGTGATGTTTATCCTGGGGAGAGTAGCAACATGTAAATATGTGCTCTGGTGCACCCCCTTTCATGACCACCGCCAAAAGAAAGCCCCTGAGAAGCTTGGTCTTCCCTTTCCTTGAACCTGAGCTAACTGAGCTCCAGTGGGAGAATGATCTTTATTGAGAACAAAGCTAGCAAGTGCTTTGTTTTTCTGGGGTCAGAGTAAGAAATTGTATGGGGTCAAGGAGTTAACATCAGCCACTTTAGTGGCTGAAAGTGGTCTGGTAGGTGCCCTCTGCCAGCTAATGCTTGGCCTTCTGCCCTTCCCAATAAGAGGAGAAACCCACAAAGAGTCCTGCTTACACATCATCCTTCTCCATACTTGTCTCAACTTGTTAGTGCTTTGGACAGGTATCCAGAAGGGAGTCTTTTAGAGAAAATGAAAGAAACTTAAATGGTTATTGTTAAAGATTCAGTAGATGGTGAGCTGTGGAATCATAATTAGAAGTATGGATGCTTTTACTTCCTTATGTTGAACTCCTTCACTCTTAAAGAATTTCCCACTTTCTCCCTGGCATTTCATATGCAAGCATTTCTTAACTTCCCCACTGGAGTCTGAAGTCTTAAAAGACAAAAACCCTATCCAGATATGATTTTCATAATATTAAAAACATGAGTCTCTTGTGAAATGGATACATGTCCGGAATTCTCTGGCAGTCCAGTGGTTTGGGACTGTGTGCTCCACTGCAGGGGGCCCAGGTTTGATCCCTGGTTAGAGTATTAAGATCCCGCAAGTCATGTGGCAATGAATAATAAAATGAATACTTGTCAAAGCTTCATTTAACTAGCTAATGAGAGAACTAGGAAGATGCTAGTGCCAGTTAAGAGCTTCTGAGGAACAGATATTTATAAAATTAGTGGAGAAAATCATGACAAAGTAGATTTGGAGGGGCAATGACCCTGTTATCCATTATTGGTTTTTTCCCCCGGTTTTGTTGAAATATAATTGATATATAACATTGTGTATATTGAAGGCCTATAACATAATGATTTGAGATATGATAACTTGTCAATGATTAGCACAGTAAGTTTAGTTAACATCCATCACCTCACATACTTGGAATTTTATCCCTTGTGATGAGAACATTTAACAAATTATTGTTTCTACCAGACCAAAAGATAAATTATATTTCTACAGAGTGGAAACCTCCAGGTTCACATGTAACTTTTAGCCTGACCCTGTGTGTATGTGTGTGAGTGTGTGTGTATGCCCCGTCGCTCAGTTGTGTCCTAGCCTTTGCGACCCTATGGCCTGTAGCCCACCAGGCTCCTCTGTCCATGGGATGTTCCAGGCAAGAACACTGGATTGGGGTGCCATTTCCTCCTCCAGAGGATCTTCCCCACCCAGGGATCCAAAACACACACGTCTCTTTTGTCTCCTGCATTGGCAGGTGGATTCTTTACCACTAGCGCCCCCTGGGAAGCCCTAAGCAATAGTAAATAACAAGGGAAACAAAAGGTCCATTCTCCTAGAAAAGTAAAGAATCAGGGACAGGCCTGTCATACTATGCCCTGCTGGGAACTGATCAACTCACAACCATCCTTTTGCTTTATTTCCAAGTTCTGGATCATTTCTCCTCACAAGGTATATGCTATTGAACTGCCTCAACCCCAGGCTCACGGCACCTGGCCCAAAGCAGATGCCCACAAAATGCCTGTTGAGTGAACCTATGAATAGAACAAATCTCCATCCATTTATAGAAAAAGATTAGCCAAGCGAAGTCCAGGGCCCACAGTCACATCAGCTGCCAGCTTTCCAAGCAGGGATCAAACAGTTTCCCTGGAGGAGAACAGAACAACAGCCCAAATAAGAACAATCTGTACCGGCAGGTGGGGAGGGACCGGTCCTGGTGGGGTACAGCTTTCTCTTCACCTCAGGCCATAATCGGTCTATGATGGCTCTATAATTGCTTTACAGTGTCAGTAGGGGTTCCCCAATAAATGAGCATTACTGGTTTCTGGCAGCCAACAGAGCCATACAGGTGCATCGTGAAAGTGTGAGGGAGCATTGTTAAGTCTCAGCTCCGAATCTTTGAAACACTGGCTGTGGGGCTGTTAACAGAGCAGCCTCTGTGAATGATGGAAGCAGTAGGCAGGGGGGTGTTTTTCAGCAGATCTGACCCAGTTTTGAGTCGGCAGGTGGAGGGACGGGGGAAGGTGCAGAGGAAGATAACATTTGCACTGCATGCCTTTAGAACCATCAGATTTTTGTTTAACTTCCTCACCCTCAATTTGATGTTCTTAGCCCTTTGGTATTGACTATTTTCCCTTAATCATTAGAAAATATTTTTTTTCTGGGACAAGTGTCTCTTGAGGATTCCATTCCTAGGAGGTCAGATAGATGGATTGGGAGCTTTTCTCTAGTTCTCATCCTATGTTGCCATACCCATTTTACAGAAGAAATAGCTGAGGTTCTGTATCAGTTAGCTTCTGCTGTGTAACAAACCACTCTGAATTCATTAGCTTAAACCACAATGTTTATTGCTTCTCATGATTCTGGGGGTCAACTGGGTGGCTTTTCTAGTCTGGATTAGCTCAGTTGGGGCCAGATGGTCTAACATAGTCTCCATTTGCATGATGAGTCATTGGCTGGCTGTTTAGTCTAGGGTAGATTATCTCTGTTTCATCTATCTGTCCTTATCCCACAAGCTAGCCCAGGCCTCTTCACACGATGGTATCAGGATTCCAAAGAGCAATTTTTTTAAAAAGTCGAGCTCCAGTATACATTTATCTCTGCTTACTCTTATCCATTGGCCAAGTAAGTCACGTGACCAAATGCAAAGACAGTGTAGTAGACTACTACCTAAGGCATAGATAGTTACACAAAGAACCTGTGGACATTTTTGCCAATCCTACCAATCTAGGTGCAAAGGTATGGGAACTTGCCTAAGCTTGCAAAACTAGGTGGGGGCAAGGCAGGACATAGACCCAGGTCTCAGACCTCCTGGCCCAGGCCCTTTCCTCAGCATCATAAGCCCTTTTCTAGGATTCCAAGGTGAAGGTCCAGTTCCCTCTAAAAACCTAGTTTATGGGTACTTGGAGCACAGAAATTCATGGTAGGTTTCAGTGCTGTGTCTTCACTTTGGGTGTTGAGAGAAATCCATCTTCTTAATTAAAACAATAGCTGGGCAAGGGTCTCTCGGGCCATCCCCACCGCCAGGCCAGTCTTGCCTCCCAGGTTCTGACAGCAGAACACCAGCCTTGAGTTGGCCTTGGGTGTCCCCCTTGCCACGTGGGGAGACGCCACATCACTGCAGGGGGCCTTTACCTCTGGGGTCTCCTGGTCCTGGGTGCTCTCCCTCTGGTCATGGGAGGACTTAGACAGCTGGGCCATTTAGACACGCTGATAATTTGATGTCTCTGCAACTTGGGTCCTGGAAAAGGATCTGGACGGTTTACCACTCTATTTTCCTTCCCAGATAATGGAGAAAGCACAATTTTTAAAAATCCACAATAATCCACATTCATTAAATATTTGCTCCAACTTTGGCTCAGAGGGGAGGCTGATCTCCATATGGTCAAAGCCCCCTGGTGGCCACCCTTCACCTGTTCCTTGAACCCTGAGCAAGTTCAAATTCAACCCTTAATTTCAAACCCCCGCCTCAGCACTCAGCAGACAAGGCCTTCCCTTAGCTTATAGGGGCACCAGGCAGGGGGAGTGGGCAGCATGTGTATCTCACACCCCAAGAGATGTTATTTATGCAAGTGTTTTGTCTAGGCAAGGTCACCATCTCCCCCAAGAAGGATTCTGGAAAACAGTCTCCCCAGCCACTTCCATTGGCAGAGATGATTCAGATGATGCATGAAGGTTTCTTTAGCCAAATTGGCTTCCCAGCCTTGAACTCTGCTTCTTACATGTTTTCTTAGACTTGAAAGAGTAATTTGCATCTCATTTGTCCATTCCTCAGTCTAACAGGACACAAAGGAAATGGGGCATAGATGGCCCTCACTCTGTTTTCTTCACCAGTAGCAGAGAAAAGCCCAACTTGAAAAATCACCAATAATCCGCACATCTTCAAGATCAAAGCTGTTTACAGAAGCATCCGAGACAAGCTAGTGGGGCGCTGACTCCCATTTTGTCAGCTGGCCCCAAGAACCTTCAATTAAGAAAGAAGCACGCGGCGGGGGGAGACTCTCATCAGTGGCCCCTTTCCCTCTGGAGCCAGCTCCGAGCCCAAGTGCAAGGAGTCAGCCATTCTTCATGCCTTCCAAAGCATCACCCGAGATCATAAGCGAGGTCACTCCCAAGCCCTAGAGTAAACAGACCTCTGATACATTCTGCCCCCAAAATTGAAGATTCCTCAGCTATTAGTCAGACTCAACAGAAGGCTCCATTCCCAACCAAGATGAAACACTCCTGCATTCCTGAAACATGATGTGCCTGTGTCACTAGCTCCCAGGCTTGTCTTCAGGGTCCGACAGCAAAGATCAAAGTATCGCTATGGCCACTTCTCTCTGCCAGGAGTTTGTCTTTTCCTGCAAAGGGGCATTGCATGCTCCTGCTTGCTGTAACATACAGCCATGGATGTCTGCTCCCTTCCTGCTACCTGATTACCATCACACGCCAGCAGAAGGAGGCCAACCTCACCATCAGTATCTTCAACGATGCGGACTTTCCCCCAGAGATCTGGTTCCTTCTCTCCACCCTGCACTGAGCAAGCCTCCACCACCAGCTGGTGCCAGGCCTGTGGTCACCATCTCACAGCTGTCTTCCTGAGTCCTAAGAACAAGCGAGCATCGCCCACCACCTCCCGAGAAGGCAGGTTTTCAGCCTGAAATTCACATTGTTCATCCTCTGATTTTCTCTTCCTGGGAGCGCTCGCCCCTCAGTCATGTGAAAAGATAATCACTGTGCCCTTTTATCCTTTTTTTTCTCCCCAAACAGGGAAACTTGTGCTCTTCCCTTTGAAATACCACCCATGGCATTCTTGAACTTATTTTTAGACGTGTGGAAACATTCCAGACAAAAATCGATGCC